TACTTTTCTGTAGGAACATCTCCCTGCTACCAAGTTAAAACCGTAAAAGCCGAACAGAACTCAGGATGCTCAGCTCCCTGGCAACTGGTACGTGAGGTGCCTGGAACCAAGCACACACCCCCGACACCCTGGCGAAGTCAGTCCTGAGCCCTTTTCACCCTCAAAGCACCCGGGCTGGGTTGATAAAGCCCAGGCCGCCTATCCGGGTGTCACCCAGTGGGGAGGCCCGGTGGGCGGCATCCCAGGCAGGGCAGGTGGCTCAAGACCCCCAGGACCACTCCCGCCCAGAAGGGAATCGTAAAGAAGTGACAACGCTTCGGGGAGGTTGTCCCCCCAGCCACCCTGAAGACAGGCGAGCTGGCCCAGCTTTGCACGAAACACCTCTGGCCTTGGCTGAGCATGACCTGGTGGGTCGGGGCATAAAAACCTCACGTCAAACAGACATAGCTCAGAGCCCACCTCTCCTCTCTCTGTGGACATCAGGGACCATATTTGACATCCTGGAGCCTGCGGTCTCCTTGTAAAAGGACAGGGACACAGCCAGGCGCCTGACAGCCAGGAGTCCAGAGCACCTGGGTGTCCCATCCCGGGGGCATCGCAGCGCCAGCCCTGGACCCCGACCTGGGTTCAAGGGAGAACAAGGAAAGAGGCAGGGGCCTGGGGAGTGCCGGCCCAGGGACGGGCAGTGTTTCGGAGGCCTGGCCGGTGGACTGAGGGGCTCACTGCTTCCCGCAGCCCCGCCCTCTCCCGCCAGGATTTCTGCCAGGGCTGCCTTCACTCCAGACCCAGACGCCTGGCCGACACCCACGCACGACGTCGGTTTTCTCAGGAACGGGCAGATTCATCGTCCTGGTCACCCAGGGCCACCCAATCACTGTTTAAATGGCTACTTGGCCAGAGAAACAATAATTTCTAAGCCACAAAACTGAATTCTGTTTGTCCACTAAGAATGAATGCTATTGATCAAGCGAAACCTATGAAAACCCCAGAGACAGAGGCAAGGAATCCGCTGGCACAGCAGCTGCCGACAGGCCCTGATGAGCCGCGTCCGCCGCCCCGCGTCGGGGAGCCGCAGCGGCGGGGGCAGCGCCAGGCGGGGAGGCACGCGGCGCCGGCGTCTCCTCCAGACCCAGCCCCCGGCACCCGCCAGCCATCCACACCGGCTGCTGGCAACGCGGCCTCACCCGTCAACCTGACCCCACCCCGGGGCTCCAGTCAGAGTTGCTGGACCCGCTTGTCAACGACTCCACGTCTTCCTGGGGAAGAATTCGGGAATTCGGATGAAACAAACACTGAGCCATTTTCTGACAAATATTCACGGCGTCGGGCTCAATCTGAGAAGCTGGGCGCCCGCCCGGCAGCGGGGTCCGAGGCAGCGGCCTGGTGCAGGTGCCGAGCCGGACTACCCTCTGCCCTCATGTGGCCTCTACCAAGAGTGGGTCTCTAGTTGGGCTGGGGGCCTCGGCCCCGGGCGGTAACCATGCCTGGTGAGACCTTAACACCCACCCCAGGGCCTGTCCTGCAGCCACCCAACACTGGGGCACCTTTGGTGTCCACTCCCATCACCCCCACCCCAGGCAGACTCAGCTGAGAGCCAGGTGGATGCGGCACATGTGAGGAGGTGTCCAGGTGGCCCAGGCACGGGCAAGAGTGAACGGAAAACCCAGGGGGGCCTCCGAGGGTGGTCAGTGGCAACGGGGCCCGTGAGCTGCAGGGGGCAGGGAGGCGGGCCCAGGAAGGGGCCTGGTGCCACACGTCCACCCAAAGCCGCCTGGCTGCGGGCCCGGGACGTCCTTCCTGCCCGGCCTTGATCAGCAGCTCCAGGTGGGCAGGAAGTCGGGGGCCTGCCGTGGAGGACCGCCCGAAACTGGGAGGCGGCGGCCTGAGGAGCGGAGCGCAGGCAGCGGGCACCGGGCAGGCCCCGAGCCCCAGCGGCAGCGAAGGCTCCGCCGGCTGCGCCCGGTCAGGAGCCGTGTCTGGGGCTCCTGCCAAGCCTGGGGCTCGCCTGGTACCCGAGACGCTCCATGGGCCCGTCCACCCCTGCTGCCTCCCGAACCCCAGACAACAGAAGAGCCCTGCCACGCACCGTGTGGGGTGGGAGCTGACACAGCACACGCCTCGCCAGAGGATGGGACATTTCCCGAAGGGTCGGACCCTCTGCTGCTAATACATCAGGACGCAGGCCGGACGCGGCACAACGGCAGTGACCCAAGTGTCCGCCCCTCCGGGGACTGTGGTCACCCACCACGGAACGCGATTCAGCCGAGAAATCTGACGCCCGTGGCAACGTGGATGCTGGGCTAGACACGCCAGTCACAGGACAAACCCTGTGTGACCCCACTCACACGAGGTCCTGGAGCCACCGACAGAGACAGGAAGGAGGATGGGGGGGGACAGGAATCATGTCTCACGGGGACACGGTTTGGGAAGATTAGACCAAGTGCTGGACATGACGGGGTGGCGTTGGTAGAACAGGGTGCCTGTGCTGAGCGCCCCTGAGCTGTGCAATGAAAAACGGTTTAAATGGTCCATTTCATGTTCTCTGCATTTCACCAGCACTAAAAAACATGGCATCTTAGGCAGCTCACGGCACAGCTGTGGACAGGCGGTAACAGGGCCACGGCAGCCTCCCGTGACTTTGCTCCTCCAAAGGCCGGGAGCCCGGCGCCCCCTCCTCAGCCTCTTCATCCCTTCACTTCTTCAAAATACGCGTATTCAGCAGCCTCCCCGCCAAGCACGGGGCTAGACGCTGGTGGCCGGAGAGGGTCCCTGGGCCAGGCCGCCCCCCTCTCCGCCGTCTCCGCAATAAAGGCAGGGCTGTCGTGGTCTCCAGCTGTCGGCCAAGGCCGGGGCTTCGTGAGGAGGAGGCCAGCAGGTCCTGTGCATCTTCTGCACGCTCCAGGCTTCAACCCAAGCGGGAGCGGCTCCCGGGGGTGGGGGGAAGAGTCCCAAGGGACAGCCCCTCTCTGTGTGGGCGAAAGGCCTCTGTGCGGGGGCCGGCAGCCCGGACCTCTGCGTGGGACACAGGCCCTGCTCTCAACCTGGGGTGACTCGCCTGCGGCGTCCCCGAAGCTCACAGCAGTCACCTGGCTGAGGACACCGGCCGCCTCCCCTGGACAGCCCGCAATCCTGGGGGGTCTGTCCCCAGGTCCTGGGCCAGGCCAGCACAGCGGGCTCTGCGGGGGCCCAGCGTGAGGCGGGCCCCGGGGAAACCTGTCCCCGAGCGAGCCGGGCTCTTCCGTGAGGTGGCAGGGTGCCGAGGGCCGGGTGGACCGTCCTTGGGCCAAGGCAACAGCCGCGGGTAAGGGAGGGCCCCCAGGGGGCAGCGCGATGACAAGAACACACCACACTCTCCAGAACCCGGTCTCATCTCTGCACACCAGGCGGGGGAAGGGCCCATCCACCCGCAGGACCAAGTGGGCCGCCACCCGCCCTCCTGGGCAGACGTAGCTCCGCAGCCGCCCTTCCCTCCTGCCCACCTGGAGCCAGGGCCGTCCGCGGGGCTGCCCTGCCCGGCCCCTCCCAACCCCGGGCACCCACATCCCGCGGCCGGGCCTCCGTCAGCTCAGCGGTGCCGTCTGCTCTTCTGTCCGCGAGGAGGGGGGCACACTGCCTCTCATGCGCAGGGGTGCCCCGCCGCACTCGTCACCTCCGGTGTGGTGTTCGAAGCTGGGCGGCTGCTCGGTGCCGGATGGAGGGGGCGGCGTGGCAGGGGCAGAGCCACAGCCCCAGCGGTCCTCGTCCACTCTGGCCCCAGGCCATCCTCAGGTTCCCAGGACGACACCTGTGAGGACCAGAGGGGGCTGCAGACAGGGGTGTGCCCGGAGGGGTCCTCCAGGTGGGCAACTGCAGACCAAACGACCCGAAAGGATGGCCTCTGGGTGGCAGACTCAGATGGTGAAGGAGGGAGGGGCCGGCGCTGGGGGAGGGGCAGTTTCTGGTGCAGAAGCTCCGTGGAAGCAACCAGGGGTGACCAGGACCACCGGCGTGAGCAGAGACGTGACCTGGATTCCGAGCCCGGTGAATCCTAGGTCTCCCTACTGTCAAACGACCTTCAAAATAAAACCTCATTTTGGCAAAAGTGAAAGAAAAAAGAATCAGGCGTGATTATTAATGTCATATGCCCCACTTTTTGAAGGCTCCAAACGGGAGTTTGAAAGAGTTTCCCTGTGGATGTTTCCACAGCATTTTCCTGGTTCAATGCTGCCCCATCAGATTGGGGATGGGACACGGCATGTCCTATGAAAGTGTATGCATTTCAAATTGAACGTTTCCTACGTGAGCTCTGCAGCCCTTAACCCTCTTAACACAGGGGAAGAGGTGGCTCCAGCCCCACAAGCTCTGTGCCCACCCCTGGGCTGGTGTGGCTCTGCCCCCTCTCCCCTCTCCTCCGAAGCGGGACCCACCCGTGGGCCTCCCCTCCAGGGTCCTCCCCTCTTCACTCAGGAGCGGCCTGCAGGGCAGGGTTGTGTGAAGACGGTCGTGGGGTCCCCAGCACCTTGATGACCGCCAGGGCTCTGCCCCATGGCACGGACAATGTGTCTGTCCTATCCTGGGGGACCGGCCTTGAGGACCTGAAAACTTCCTCGCGTCGGGCCAGCCCTCCCCCTGGGTCCCCACAGCAGGGAAGCTCTGGGCTGAGAGCAGCTGAACCATGTCAGGGCGTCGTGCGTGGTGGTCGCCACTCGGAGAGGCTCCAAGGTCTAGGAGGGAGCCTCCTTTCACAGCCCCGGGACGTGAACGCTGTCCTCGGCCAAGGCAGAGTCTGGAGGAATGCCTGGCTCATCTCCCGTGCTTCCCATGGTGTCAGCAAGGACGCTGGTTTCATACATCGTGCATTCAGCGGCACCGTCATCTTTAAAACATTTCCACCCTACGGTAATGCATCGCAGAATCGACTTTTGCCCCCAGAATATCACTTGATCTCTCATAACTGAAATGACAGAGAAGAACTGCTTTTCTGTTTAATTACTAGTAACTGATGTTTATAAACGATGGCAAGTGTTAGTCAATAACGCTTACACTTTATTTACGTGGGTAGCACTTAAAATCCGTTACGCTTTCACGGTTACACTGTCCACACTAAGCATCCAACACCAGAGTCCGCACCACCTTCCACCACAAGCAGGCACACGGAGCAAACTGCACAGCCACCCGAGAATCACACGCGCCACACTCGCTCCCGCCGCCCAAGCCCGCGGCTCGGCCATGAAAGCTATGCCCCCGGTGCCCGGGCTCCCAACACTGCTGGGTGAAAGCTACTGGCGTTTGAGAATCCCATCCAAGCTTTTCACGATGCCCTCGGTGCCCGGGGGCAAAGGGAAAGGGGACTCAGGCGGGTGCGGGAGTGAGAGGAGGGGCCCTGACAGCAGGCGGGGAGGGGGTTGGGGGGCCTCGATCCTGTGGAGGAGTCGCTGCGGAAAGCTGGGAGACCCCGGCCCAAGGGAAGCGATTCTTCTGAAGGAGCCGGTGCTGGAGCCCGTACCCGGCTCAGCGCCTGTGCTCAGTACCTCACGAGCTGCATGTGGGAGGGGGTCGTCTGCTTCCCCCCAGCCTGAGCCTAACCTAAAAGCCAGAGGTGCTACTACTGAACAGAATTTTGAAGACTCCTGTGTCCCTGCCAAAACAACTACGGATCCAAGGAAAGACGGGCTATTCGAGAAGATTAGAAGTAAAACCATAACCGTGAGGGGGCTCCACACCTCGAGCGGCCAGGTCACAGTGAAGGTCTGGCTCCCCCGAAACTGAAGAGAAGGTCACCCGGGGTCAGGAGTCACCTTTACGTCACCCTGTGCTTGAGTCTAGATTCATACACTCAGCGGAGGAGCGAAGGTCGTGTCGCGAGCATGCACGCGCCGTCGGGAGCGCCACACGGCCAAAGCTGCAAGCATCTCCGCAGGTGTGCACCAGGCAAGCAGGGGTGGCCTCGGCCGCAGAGCTGGAGAAGCAGGGACGGTCCAGCGGCTCCGTGCTCCCGCCCCCCAGGCCCTGACCGGTGTGCCCCCAGCGTCCCCAGCGCCGAGCAGGTGTGGTCTCAGGGCGGTGGACAAGCAGGTGCGGCACCTAGCGCGTGTGTGCAGCCCCTCGGCTGGCCGCCCGCTGCTGCACTGCGGCCCGTCTACGGGCGGCCCTTGGTCGACTTCTTCTTCTTCAACTCCTCTCTCTGTTTCTGCTTCTTCCTCTTGCCACCTTCTTTGAATCCTAAGGAAACAGGCGTGTGAAACACTGCAGAGGAGCAGCTGCGGCCCCACTAAGAGGCAAACGTGTCTCTAGATATCCCCCTGGTTAAAACAAACCAACCTCGCGATAAAGTAATGTGTCATCACTCCTATCTGCTCCATATCTAAGGCTCAACAAAAACATGGACGGACTTCAAACTTGGCAGATGTAAAGCTCTAACATGATCCAACCAGCATCCCAGCCCCGCGGGCCAACCCATCATCTGTCCCCACGACCCCGCCCCAGGTCACCTGGAGACAAGGCAGGGCAGGCTCTGCCTCGGGGATGGGCCTCCCCGGGGCCCCCTCTGCAGGGAGAAGCCCAGCTGTCACACGGTCCGGGGCTCAACCAATGCCCCACGCCAACCTTTTCCCCTGTGCTGTGTGCTTGCCCGAAGCCGGGGGAGAAAGAGGTGGGTGTGACCTGCTCACCCTCCTGAGACTTTGTCCAAAGAGCCGGAAGAGCTCCAGGTTATTTCTGCAAAAACAGCTCAGGACCTTGTGCTGCGTTAGTCCACACAGATGTGGGCGGAGCGGGATGCTGAATTTGGTAACAAAGGATCGTTCTGAACGGTCAGCCTAGAACCAGGCCAGGGTCACTGCAGGCCTGCGACCTAATGCACGTGGGCCCCTAAGCCTGCTGAGAAGAGTACATAAAAGCATCCTCGAGATTTTAAATTGAGGCAGGTGCCATTTTAGAACACAGTCTCTCTCCAGACAGAACCCAGACCCAGTCTGTTCACGACACGCATGTGTCCACACAGCGCCACCCCTGGGTGGGCCGGGCCCGGGGGTCAGTTAGGTGGGCGCTGACAGCCGACCGGGACCTGATCACGATGCCCGCTGTGGGGCGGGGGGGAAGCTGAGGACACACACATGCCTCCAACAGAACGAGGCTGCCGGGGCCTCCCGGCCTCACCACTGACTCAAACGCCCCTGGAATCCGCTCGCAGAGGGTGGAGGCTGGCGCGGTCCCCAGGGCTCTGCGGCCTGTGTCCTGCCTGCTCTCCCAGCAGCACAGCCATCCGGGTCACGTGCTGTACGGAAGTGGCCCTGACACGGGGTCGTGGCAGGGGCCCTGGAGGTCCTCACGCCCAGCGTCCTCCTGCCTGACTCAGCTACCTGCACAATAAGCCAAAAGGAAGGAAAAGAAACACCTGCTAACCCACCACGAGCGCACGGCAGCCCCGTCCCTGTGACCAGGCTGCTCCGGCCAGAAGTCGCTCCTCTCAGCTGTCCCTTTCACACTCGACCACGACGACCGACCGAGGGGGCCACGGGGGCGCCGGGACTCTCTCCTGCCTCATACTCAGGCCCCGGCCCCGTCTCCACTCATGAATCTCCTAAGCCAGAAGGGGCCCCCGGGCACACACCGGGCAGAGCTGGGAAGTTAAAGGATCAATGTTATCCTTTCATTTGTGAATTTCTTTTTCACTATGAATAATTTTTCCTTTCTCACAGTTACACATTCTCGATAGACCTCCAGCGTGTGTGGAATCCATAAATGAAAAACACTAATCCTTTATCCACATCTCGCCGTCTAATTCACGGGCTCCGAGAGGCGTGCGACGCGTCCTCTGAAATAAAGCCGGGGCGGTCACCCCGTCTCACAGCAGGTTAACAACACAGTGAATGCCGGCAAGAAGGCACCGTCGGGCTGAACACAGAACTCCCCCCGCAGACGGGCCAAGGCTCCCCCAGCCACATCCTGACCCTGAACCACACGGGCCGCACCGTCAACACGGGAGATGCTCCCAGGAGCAATGAAGCCCATGTTCTGCGGCCTGAGCGCATCACAAGCGAGAGCTCGTTTTTAGCCTAAAATCATCAGAACCTGCCAGGCCACTGCCCACCCCGCCAGCCCCGGGGGCACCTAGCCCGGCGATTGCTCAAATGGCTGAAGCACCAAGTGGGGGCACCTGACACTTTGTAGGGAACCAAGCCCTTCTAAGAAAGCTGCCCACAATGTGAAAGCCTGGCAGGAAGTGACCGCGGGAGCCTCCAGACCACGCGGAGAGTGCCCGCTGGAGGGGCAGGCGTGGCGGGGTAGGACAGGGGCCCATCACTCTGCTCCCTGGAGGCCCTGACCCACTGGGCACCTAGCTTTGCCCTGTTACCCCAGCAGCCTTTTCCACTGTCCCAGTTTTGGAGTCTTCCTCCGGAGCAGCTCTATCGTCTCTCGATAAGAAGTCAAACAAGCTCACTCTAGTCATGTAAAAAGCGTTATCTTTAATTCTTTGGTGATTCACTCTGACACTCTTTTGAAGGCCTCGTAGCTTGATGTGAAAGAAGGAAACAAACCACACACAAAAAAGAGGTGTGTTCCGCAGCGCCCAGCACCTGCCGGGCCGAGACCTGGCCGCCCGACATCGCTGCGGAACACGGGCAGGAAGCGTTCGGCAAACGCACAAGACCACTGCTCGCCCTCGTGTGTGAGCATGTGCGGGGTTCGTAAGTCAACAGTTTTCCCACCTGGAGATGACACCTGGGAGGGACCTGATGGTAAAAACTGACAAAGCAGAAGATTTCACAAAGAAGAATTCTCTTCTCATGATTCCCCAGCAGTGGCTACTCTCCTTCCGTCCACAGCCCTGGTCTCTGGCGCTCAAGAGGCAGCACGGGCCTCACTGTGACCCCAGGTCCACTTCCCGTTCAGGAGGCCAGCTAGATGTCTCAACAAGGCTCCTCCGGGCAGGCCTGAGCCCACACGCCTCACTCTTGGGAATTGGGATGTTCCCACCCAGTTTAGACACCCAGGTTTATGGTAACCTTCCAACCAAAGGGACAGCCCGGGAAGTCCCTGTTCAAATCGTATTTGTTCAGGGAAACTGCATCTACAACCCTGCCCCTCGCCAAGTCCAGCCAACGAGCGGCCAGGACCAGGAGGTGACGATAAATCTGGGGAGAACATCCACACGCCCATTCGAGGCAGAACAAGTTTTTTCTGAATCCACACAGCCCTTCCAATCACCTCTATTTTTCTTTCAATTACCCAGGAAGAGGCTAACGTTCCCAAATGGCCCATCTGCCTCGGGTGGCACTGCTCCCTGGCAGCCGGTGGCCAGGTCCGCACAGTCCCGCGGGGCTCTGCACCCTGGCTCAGAACCCAGGACACCCGCCTTCCGGTGGGTGGATGGGACAAATCCCCTGTCCTCCTCAAGACACACACACACCCCCTTTTCCACATGAAAAGGGCCAGAAGGGGATTGAAGGGACAGAGCTCCCAACAGAAAGTTCTGGGAGAAGAAAGGGATAGACCTCATCCTTCCAGTTCCCTGTGCAGACGATGCTTTCTTGCCCTAAGTTCACAGAACTAACCTCACAACGTACACAGAGACATCACCCTGAAACAAGGGACCAAGGATCCACCTCTTCCTCCACGTAACCTGCGGTGGTCAACCTGGAGACTTCCAGTGCTGAGAGCCAAGACGGGCACAAACGCTTCACACTGATGAGTGATTCAAACTAGATTTACATCGGCCTTTAGACTCAGCCAGGGTCCGCCTGCATGCACAGCCATGCCGTCAGAAGTAATCCAGAACTTTCTACAGGGAACACACTTCAAAGACCCATCTGGGCTAAGAAATTACAGGTCAAGAAGCTGGAAGAGGGCAGAGCGGGGTCTGGAGAAAGGGGGTCACGAAGCCTCACTGCCTCACTGCATCCAGAGGTGGGAAACCTCCCCTGGGGTGAGGGTGGGTCAGCACCCATCCACCTGACCACAGGACCCCTGGGAGCGGGTGTCAGGTTCTGCCTGTAATTCAACAGCAAGGCAGGGAGGCACGACTGCAGCCGCAGGGCCCCCAGGAGAGGCTGGGCAGGTGGCCGCTCTGCGGGACCAGACTCCCAGCATGAAGTTGGAAGTTACACGAAGGGGCTCAGCTGCTGCCCACGACAACACACGGCATGCCGTGGTGGGAGACCGGCACCCCGCTTTAATGTGGGCTCCACGCGGCCTCCCCCCACCCGCCTGCCCATCCGTCAGGCCAGGACGCAGCAACACAGGTGCCATCTCGGTCCTCGGGGGCCCCGGGAAGGCCGGGAGGCAGCCCCGCGGGGAGGCTCCGCGGCGGACACCCCGTGCACACCTGCGGGGAACGCGGCCGGGGGCTCCCAGCTGCTGCCGGCCCGGTGGTCCTCGCCCTCACCCGGGGGATGGGGCGTGTGTTTGGGCACAGAGGCCGGCCGGTGGGACTTCAGAGGGCGGGCGCTGGTGCTGGTGGGCTGGCCGGGCAGCGCGTGCTGGCCTCGTCGCCGGCACTCCTCCGCGAAGGCGTCCTCGTCGGCCACACCTGAAAGCACAGGACGGAGACGGGCATGAGCCGCACAGCGGGAGGTCCTGGTGCCTCAACCGGATCTTCCCAGAGAAAACAGAGGAAACCAAAGGAGCACGGAAATCCAGTGACAGCGGCAGCTCCCCACCCGGCCCCCAGGGGGTCGGCAGCGAATCCTGAAAGCACACTCGACCTTCAGGAGGGAGGAGGACGGGGCCCCCATGACAAATTTCACCCTCAGAATTGGCACAAGGGTGTCACCCCAGAGGAGTGGGCTCCTGGCCAGCCATTGGTCTCTCTCTCAGGCAGCTGTGATGCCAGGACCTGCACAGCCCTGCGGTGATGGAGGCGGCGGCCACCTTGCTTCCCGCCCGCTCGTGCCACAGGGCAGCTCCGAGCTCTGGACGGGGGACCCGCACGCACGGTCACCTTCACCAGACGCACAGCCAAGAACATTTCTCATTGCTCTCCACATTGTGTTTCTCTCGGTCTTTTCAAAAACAGAAGTTTTGCACATTAGGTGGAAACTAGCAATAAAATTAAAGACGAATGATAATAGTTACCGAATAACTTCAAATTTCATTCTCTGGGGGGTTTCTGACCAGCAGTCACACGGCGGGTTGGCAGGGCTTAAGGGAAAGGCTGTCAGAAACCCGGTAACAATGCAGGCAGGACACGACCTGTCTGATGGGACCAGTGACACCAGGCGGTAGCCTTCCTGTGCCTCAACAACCCTGCTCCCTGGAGGGTGGGTAGGCCCGTCACCCAAACGGCGACATCCAGGGCGCACACCGCTGAGCCCCAAGCAGGTGACAGCCAGTGTGACCCGAGGTGCTAGCCCACTCGAGCTCTTCCCCAGGCAGACACTCCCTCCATCGCTGCCGGGCCCCCCCCCGCCCCCCCCCAAACCCCGCCAACGCGGAGGACGACAGGCCTGCAGAGATGCTCCCTGTAACGAAGACCTGCTCTCTCACGGGGGTGCGCGATTACAATCATTTCCGCACCATTTACACGACGCTGAGCGCCAAGTTCAGTGCTGGGTACAGGCGTGGGGCCTCCCCTCCCTCTCCTCCAGACACCTGAACTCAACTACTGGCCCCGACCCGCTCTCACCACACCCGAGCTCACTGCACCCCGCTCCCCGCCCCCTCCCCCCCCCCCCCCGCTCACCACACCCGAGCTCACCGCACCCCTGCTCAGCACACCCGCGCTCACCGCACCCGAACTCACCGCACACCCGCTCACCACATCCGAGCTCACCACACCCGAGCTCACCACACCCACGCTCGCACCCGAGCTCACAGCACCCCCGCTCAGCACACCCCGCTCACCGCACCCGAGCTCAGCACACCCCGCTCACCGCACCCGAGCTCACAGCACCCCCGCTCAGCACACCCCGCTCACCACGCCCGCGCTCACCGCATCCGAGCTCACCGCACTCCCTCTCACCACACCAGCTCGCCCCACCCCCCGTCCCCCCCCCCCAGCCCCCCCACCCCGCGCTCACAGCGCCCCCGCTCCACAGAGAATACCTCCTGAGACACCGCAAAGAAGTATGGTGACCCCGGGCGTGCATTTTAAGGCTCTCCTCGCCCTGCAGGGCCTCTGACATTCCCAGCACTGCTCTTCTGCAGGGTGCCCAGGGCTCATCGTCTTTCCCAACAGCACATCCCCTCCCTCCAAGAGACGTGCGCGAGCCGCTTGTGCGGCCAGCTAACCAAGCGCTCGGAGAGCACCTGGCGGTCGGCGCACGTGGCCTTGACCACCGTCACACCAGATGCCACCCCTAGCAGTCCCCTGGGGACCTATGGCCACCGTCACGGCGGCTTCTCAGAGTCAAACGGACCGCTGAGCTGAGTAAGCAGGCCCTGGGCGCGGCCGTCACACCTGCTCGCCGTCCCTCGAGCAGGGGCGCCCCTGTGCCCGCCGAGGGGGGTCATCAAGCACCGACTGGACGCAGGCTTCACTCGAGAGCAGAACGCTCCCAGAGCACGCCTGTCTGAAGGAGGAAAGTGTGCGAGCGAGGGTCCCAGGGCAGGGCCAGGGCTGGGGGCACTCAGGGCCATTCCACCCCCCGGGGGCTCTGCGGGGTCCAGACACAGGTATGACTCCCAAATCCACGAAGCCCTCCCAGGGGAGGGGGCCCCACGGAGCCGCGGCTAATAGAACACCACCACGGCGACTTGATCTCAGAATCCGCGCTGGACGCGGCAGGTGGGGCAGCGTGGGCAGCCCCAGCATGGCCACAGGGTCTTGCAGGCTCACGGCCCCTGCGTCAGGGTCAGGGAGCTCGGCACCCAGCAGCCCAGCCACAGGCTCGGCTTGTCTCCACCTGGGGAGGCCTCCAGGGTGAGCAGCCGGCCCCTCCCCGGCTCCAGGCGCAACCACGCAACCACGCCCGGTGGCTTTGATGAGACCTTAAGGATGACACGTTGCCCACAGGTGTAGCCTGAGCATCCCAGGTGCTGGACAACACACACAGGCGTGTTCACTCTGAGTGGCTGCGTGACTGCGACGGGCCTAGACGTGGTAGGGGTGGGCATCCCAGGAGGTAAGGGCACCCCAGGGGCCGGCCCGCCGCTATGTTACTCACCTCAGGTCAGTTCAAACCCACTGGGTCCCTGTCGGCCGCTCAGAAGAGGTGGTGCTCCCCCTGCCCCATTCCGCCCAGGGAAGTCCCACCTGTAGGACCGCACGGCCGTGGGCACAGACGACACTTACCTGCCAGGCGGGCGCGGGAGGCCCGGTGAACGGACAGCGCCGGCTGTGTCCCGCGCACGGCACGGCCACCTGCCCTGCTCCCTGACGGTCTTCAGCGGCGCCAGCGCACAGGCCGGGTGGCTCCCGTAGGACCCGCATCCGCCCAGCGTGCCCCCTCAGCCGTGCTGTCACCCCAGGGCCCCGGCTGCACACACCAGCCCGTCCCCAGGCCCCCGCCACCCCAGCTCTCAGGGCCGCTGGGCACGCTCCGTGTCTGCCGTCTGGTCAGAGGACGAAACGGTCACTAAGACGTTCCTCCTGGCGTTCCGGAACAACTCCCAGCACACAGCACAGTATACACTCCAGGCCTTGAGGGTCTGGTGACCTCCCCGAAGACCGGGACCCGCTGTGGGTGAAGGTGGGGACACTCTTGGGTCCTGGGGACCCCCTCCCCCGGCAGCCGCCCCGGGCAAATACTGGCGCCCTCCCACTTCTGGCCTCGCCTCTGTGAAGCCCCCTCCCGAGGGCCCAGCCGCACCGTCTCTGGACCAGGGATTGTCCAGGGGTGGATGCAGGGGCCACAGCTGAGAGCCGGACTCTCGGGCTTGGACTCCGAGGCGAGCTCTTCAGAAGCTGCGATGGACACACAGCTGGGCGCCTCACTGTCGCACGAGCCGGCCCTGGTGGACACCGTCACCTACACCGTCACCTCTGTGCCCCAGGCCCGCCCTCCAACATCATGAGCCCCAGAGGCCCTGGGTCTGGAGCAGGGCGGTCAAGCCACAGACCCCACAAGGTCCCCATAAAGCTCCTCCATTTCTCAAGTACCGGGAAAAGGATTTGGGGAAAAGAAAGAAAGGTGGATGTTGAGAAGCTTATGTGAGTGTCTCCGCTGGACACTCTCTGGAAGGCATCCCTCGACGTGTTCATTCAAGCGCTCATTTTGAACCCCCTGCACTACACGCAGAATACCAGCAGGCACTGACAGACTGACAGAAGGGGCGGCCACCACACCCACAAGCGCAACCAGCTGCGGGCGACACGGGACCCCCGGTCTGAGAAGACGGCCCGCTGCTGCTGCCGCTCTGAGTTAAGAGCCATCAGCACAGCCAACTCCTGCCACGTCACGTGTTCACGACGGTGCCTGCCCTGCAGGGACCTGGCCTCACTGCACACAGCGGGGGTGAGCGGACCCGTGCGGCTCGCTGTGTCCCACGGCTCCTGAGCAGGAGAGACGAGAAGCCGAGGGGCACAGGAGGCTTGGCAGACGTGCAGCATGCGAAGGAGAGCGGGCAGCCCCGGAGGGCAGGGAAGGAGGCCGTCCTGCCCCGACCCAGCGCCGTTTTCCCCGGGCCCAGCTGACGTCTCAGAACCGACACAGGCCTCTATCGCGTCTCCCCGCACCGCAGCCCGGCTCGCCCCAGGAGCTGCCCTAGCTGCTCCAGGACGCAGATGGCAGAGGTCTGGAAACGGCCCCCAGCGACTGTCGTGTGCACCCAGAAGCCGGGCCCCGGAGACGCCCCCCGGGCCTGTTCAAGGGCAGGTCTGTCCAGGGCAGAGGTGGCTCTGCCTTCAGGGCAGACGGGGCCAGGGACGCCAGTGCCTGGCCCAGCACCTGGGTGGAGGGGGAGCCCCTCCCCCGGAGGGCAGGCGTCTCAAGGGGACGTGAGAGGCCCCGGGAAAAGCAGCGCCGGAGCTCCAGAGGCAGACGCTGACGCCTGGGCGAGGGCTCCACAGAGGCCTTGCTGGCGGCCTCTCCCGCATCCGCTCTGATGGCTCCAGTGCATCCCAGTCTGTTCCAGGGCTTCCCCGTCGTGCCGCCTGGGGCTCCTCGTTCTCACAGCGTCCCTCACGCCCCAAGTCCTCCCACAAGACCCGCCCCAGCTCCAAGGGCTTCGTCTGGGGACGCCCAGGGGGCTGGACCACGTGACCCGTGACAAGGGACTACCAGGCCTCTCCCTGAAGGCAGAGCAGAGCCCGGGATCTCCCTCCCCTGCAGGTGTGGGCGTGGGGAGGACTGAGCCGACCTGTGCCACGCTCTGCCCTCAGACCCCCTTCCTCCCCAGCCCCCAGAAAGGCACCCTCGGCTATGGGACATAACCGCTGAAGCAGCAGAGACACCTCGGACCTGGAGGGTGTGGCAGGGAGGCCGGGCCTCGGGCGATGGGGTCCTGGACACGGAGATCCGTCCTCTGAGGCCCAGCCGCCCTGGCTAAGCATGTGGGGCCCTGATTTCAGACGGCAGGAGGGAGGGACTCACGCCACTGGCCCAGCTCCATTCCAGGTTCAGAGGATGGGCTGTGAGTCCAGCTGCGTGA